GAGTTCCAGTAAACAATATGCATCACTAAGACAAGGAATAAAGATTGAAGAACTACATATTTAAGACAGTCATATATGTCTCAGTATAAATGTCAGCTACCTGAAATTGAGACTGTGGGAATTAAACCTTTCAGGATTCAACCTATTTTTAGGGAGTACATTAAGACAAAATTTATAACCAATAATTAACAATTCAACCATCCACATAACATTGGAACTAGTGGTTGACTTTACTGTATCAATTGACTATGAGAACTAGTAATTAGAATCAAACAGTGATGTTATTTCAAGAAATGCTAATTAAATAGGGAGAGTCTAATTCTAATGTTATTAAACAGCAAAAGCCAGAAGAGGCTTTTCTCATTTCCCTGACCTTTCTTTCTATCAAGACATGCTTTCCGGGTGTACACACATCAAGGAGGAGACATGTCTGTTTTTCAGATTCTTTGATCATCAGTCACAAAGAAAAAAAACCTTTGTGATTAATTACAGCAGAAGGTTCTTTCTTCACTTTGCCTCAGGTTTTAACATAGAAAAGAAAGTGGCTAAAAAATCACCTCACTGAAACTAAGTAGCTTATGAAAAACCTAAAACAAAAGGGGTGTGTGTGTGTGTGTGTGTGTGAAGTGGAGAAAAAGGAAAAAAAAAACCCCAACATTTTCTTCCACCTCACATGCCTGGCTCTGAACATACTCATCTTGCCCACAGAAGAACAAACTCAGTTCTGCAACACCAGGGCATACCCAAGTCTCTGAGTCGGTCTCGGAGACCCGCAGTCTAACAGCACAGCTTGATCACAGTTAGATCTATCAACGCTAACCACGGAAATGTTTAGCATGTGCTCTAAGTAATGATCCTCAAGTAGTTTTAAATAACTTTTAGGAAAGTGGGAAAATATTTTTTTCTACTTCATGGAAATTAACTTATCCTTGCCTCCTGACCATTCCTTAGTAACTGTAATCCTGAGTATGTTGGACTGGAGACGAGAGTTCTCCGGGTGGTTGAATTTGTCTCTTAGTGACCTCTCTGCAGAAAGGGATTCCCGCTCCGTGCCTACAAAGCAATGTAAGTTTCTCTGGTTGGTACTATGGGGTTCATACACACAGTGAATATGGAAAAGGTGCTACTGGCAAGCTTACCATTAATGAATAAAAATAATATAATGTTTCAACAAAGACTTATAGATAGTCATCAGGAGGCAAGGAAGACAGAGAGCACATACTCTGAACTGCTACGGGCAAGGGAGGAACAGAGGAGCTTTCCCGTAGCAGCCTTAGGGCAAGATCACACCGCAAAAGCTATGGGCTAAACATCTACAGGTTGCAGTGACTTCTGGGCGTGCAGTTTAAGATTTACATAAAGATTGCTTTAATACAGAGGAAGCTAATGCAAAAATAGTGGCTGTTTGCCACAAAATTCCCACCCAGCATGAAAAAGTAAGCACTTATTCATGCTCTGGGTTTTATCTTCTTTGTCTCCTGCCTACAATTTAGTTGAAGAGGTGGGGAGAAGCCTAGGAAAAAAAACTAAAACAAAACAAATGCCCTGACTCTATTAAAAGTCAGTGAGAGTTTTGATATTAATGAGTCAGTATTTTTCCCAAGGTATACCAGAACTCAATGGAAGCAGGATGCCAACTTTTTTTTTTTTCCATAACATTCTGGATGAAACACATTTTGACAACTACACACAGATAATCTTGTTATCTGTACAGGGTTTCTACCCTGTACAAACCACTTAGGGTAGAAGAGCGGGCGAAAGATGTGAGAAGTATTATAAGATGCTTTTGGGGGGAGTGGGGGGGGTGCATAATGAAATGCATAGTAAAAAGAAAAGAGTGTAAGTAGGAATAAAGAGAGTGTGAGGTTCTCAAGGTGAGAAGGTAAGTTTTCCTGATGTAGAAGGGGGGAAAAGAAATTTAGAAATCAGCGTTTGATCTTCTCTATTTTTAATGACATGTAAAATCTTTGCAGAAAAAAAAGGGACAATGTCAGATTAAAAATAAAATTGAATTGGTGCCTTATTTTTTAACTTTTCTAATTAAAGATGAAAAACTTTAAACGTCCAATTTCTTTGTCTATATTTATCATGCCATATAGATCCTTCCTCGTGGAAGGTGAGAAGACATTTCAGTTATTTGGTTTATGATGCACAGAACCTTCAGGCTCTAAATTCTGAAAAGCTGCACATGCAATAACCTCAGAGAGATGTTCCACAGAACATGTAGAAATCTAGAAAATGAAAAAATAAAGTCAATTTTTGCAAAAATCTATACCGAGTAAGACAGCAAATACAAGCAGTACAATTTAGAGCTGAGATACAGTTTTGTTGTCCAGTAGATGGCAACATTCTCTCGATAATGAGACACACTGATTAAACCCAAGAGTTCTTGCAGTTTTTTAATTTGTTACTATTTCGCTGGGGGTTTTTTGTTTGGTTGGCTTCTTTTTAGAAGATAAAGCAAGAATGGTAAAGTTAATCTTACTAATATTTCTCTCCTTGCCCCCCCTCCCTGTCTTGCAGAGAGCCCTAACAAGCACAGCAGAAGACCTAAGGAAGAAAAGTTCTTTAGGTTCCACCCAGAGTAATTTCTTTCTTTACTGAAAATTTAGATTAGATGAACTGTTCTGTTTTCATATATAATGTAAGTGCCCTTGCAAGCTTAGTTCATTAACTATAGAACAGCGATATAGTACAAATTCCTCTAAAATTTAATTTCACTTTTTAGTTGGAGCCCACATCATGACAACCTTCAAATAACCATTGACCAATATCTAGTATGTTATTTGTCAGGCTGCTAAGAACCTCAGTCTCTTCTGGGTCTCTCTATCTGGGATACTTTACAATACAAAATGGACCCAGAGGACTGAAGATTTTTTGCTGAACAGGAGTGGTCTTGAAGCTCTGGGATCTCATGCCAAGCTGCATCTTACCCGATTTTAAAACCCCAAGGAAGCCTGTGGGCCATGACTCCCATTTTTCCTGTAGTTTCTCAATGCTTTTAAATTTCTGTCTTCATATCACTATGCTCAAAGCTTCCAACTTAATTATTTTCTTTTTCTCCTGCCCTCTCCAACAAAACATGTTTTTTAAAACTACTTCTGTAAAAATTTTCAACATTTCACTCTGCTCCCAAACCCTGACATTCCCCCCTGCCCTCCAGAATTTCTATTTTATAGATAATTAACCTCTGATTATTCTTACCTCAAACAATGCATCTCAATTTTTCATGTTTTGAGTTTCTTACAGTTGAATTTGACCAGAATTTTTGCTAAACCTTTTCCACAATTTGTGTGTGCTTTCTTCTGAGTGCAACCAGATTTCAGAAAAAAACCCAAAACAACACCCCCACCCCCCCCCAACAAACTTTGGGGCTTTTTTATGTTTGATTTAATGCAGAAGTGTTTGGGGGGGGTTAGCTTTTTGTGGGGTTTTTTGTTTTGTTTGCTTTTTAATGAAATCAATAATTAAGATAAAATCAACCATAGCACAGCTGATTGGAAAGATACCTAGTCAGCAAGGAGAATATTAACTGAATCTTCTGGTAAACAACAGTCACAGCTTCTGGCCAGCTGAATCTAAGCCTAACATCCACTCTATAGGTAAATCAGGTAGGATTTAGCTCATCCATATAAACATGCTCAACAACACAGAATTCTTGATTTGAACTAGTTTTCTATGCTTCCTTTTCAATCAGTGGGGAGAAAAAGAGACTTCTACAGTACTAGTCATGGGATTTATTTTAGTTGCCTACCTTAGGACTTCTAAAACTAGGTTACATGAATCCCTCCCTGAGAGACTAATAAGTTAAGATTCTTGCCAAGTACTCTGGGAATCACTACCAAGATTTCCATCGACCTCCTTTCTGCAACAGAACAGAAATACTGCACACCATAGCCATTTAAAAGATTCCTTTTTAAAGTGACTGCATTCACCTCCTATGCAATGAATCTCTTTCCCATCTCCCATAGGAAAATTTATAGCTGACTATAAAAGCCTCAATATTTCTTACTCGTCAAGGAATGATGAGTGATTTTGCAAATATAAACTTGTCAATATGATAGCTCCATTAAGGCTGAATGATCTGTGAGGGACTATTGCTACATTAGAATTTGCAACGAAAGTTTGATTCAAGTGTTTATATTAAGATTTTGGCTATATTTATGGCATCTTGAGATAATAACAGCAAAAATAAAAAGACTTTTGTACATTTGCCCTAAACAAGATTCAAGAGAGCACAGTAAGAAAGAAGGGAAAGGCTAAAGGGAACATGATAGGCCATTAAAATTACTCACAAGTTATAAAATCTGAAAGAAATAATTTAGAAGGGCCCAATAAGTCATAAAGAAAGTGACAATCTTTACCACCCAGAACGTGGGCTCGAATAGTGGGGCAGATTTCCTGAGAGAGATATCTGTTAGATGTCAAAGCACTCAAAGGAGGTAAGGGACTCCTTGGGCTTGTGTTATTTAAAACAGGGTTAGAACAAATCCCTTGAACTACCACAGGCAGCTGAGCAAACTGTTTACAAAACCAGTAATTAATTCCATCTACTACCTCCTACCCTTCACGAATCATGGTACAAAAAGAAGACGGTAGGCAAAACCCATTTTTAAGAGGTGGAAAGTATGCACCCAAAATACATATTTTAAATTAGTATTATGTGAAAAATCTGTTAGTTTTGAAGAGGGAGCCTACAAACTCTACCCTACTTTGTTAGCTCCAAGGCATTCTGTTGTCATACTGAAGAGGTGGACAGGTATGGATTTAAATTGCATGTTCTTCTGAGGAAAACATAGGCTTGTGACTGATTAAATAAGATTAATTTTCTTCAAAGTTAGGGTTTTTTTTCTTTTAAAATGTTTATCATTATTATAGATGTTTAAATACTTCATGTAGCACCCCATGTTCCACAGCAAAAAATCCCCATAGAAGGACCCAGTGTCAGTATGCAGTGCTGAATTCTAAGGACAGCAGATGGACATGACCAGATTATCTGGGTAACACATGGAAAATCTAAACATTAATAATAAGAAAAAAAAAAGTGAGCCAAGATATGGCCTCACATAGCCGAAAAAAATTTAACATAAGCAGAGAGAAGTATGGAGGGAAAATTGAGATGTGTACAGTGATTAAAAACTGGAACCAAGCCAGATTTTTTTGTATCCTTAATGTTTGCCCACAATACTTCTGGGTTTTTTTTCTTTTCACATAGTTCTTTAATTTTCAGTTCCATACTTTTTAAAAGACACTATATTATCATAAGGGATCAGTAAAATGGTATCGTTCATTCAGAAAGTTAGTCTTGCATGTTCCTGATCTTTTTTCATTAAGTATCTTTAGGGATAACAAAAAACTCAATCCCAAACCTCTTTTACCCCCCAGTGACATCTCTAATACGTGCAAGATGCTTTATCATATACCTGAACCACATCAGTAGTACATCTTAAAATATTAAAACACACTCATAAATTGGAGAAGGGACATTCTTAATGGCTGTTGGTACATTTTTACATAGCGTTAAGTAAAACAATCCACAACTAATTCTGACTTGTCTTTTTCCAGAACTGCCAAGTTTTATGAGTGCTTTCACATGTAAATCTGAAAAACAGGGTTTGGTTACCTTGGTGCATTAAGACAGATAAGCATTACCTTAAAACGATACGGACTGTGAAATAACAGACTTGTCTCTCTTGTTACCTTGATTTTTTTCTGAATAAACATTTCTGACTGGCTAGAAATTAACTGTTCATTTAAACAACTTTTATGTATTTTTTTTTTTATTTCTGTGACACAGGCTGTCTACCACACTCACAGTTATGAGAGACAAGATTTAGAAGGAACACATACAAAGTGGACCCTTTAAATTTTTTAACCTCTGCTACGAATACAATGCCTTGAGACACTATGGACTTCATAACACATAATTTTATGTAACAAACACTGTCTAAAACACTTCCAGAAACCCAGAGGGCAGTCCTTCTTTCTTGTTACGTATTCACATGGCTATATTCAAAAGCCGAAGTTCTCTGTATCTGGACAACAAAATTTTACTGACATTACAACAATACCAAACCAGGTTTCATTAAAACAAATGTTTCCCATTTTTGCTTTGACACAACAAATCAGATTTTTTCACTAACATGAGATGGAAAAAATGGGAGGGGAGAATGAAGTAGTAAACCAAAAAAAAGATCAGTATATGATGACGAAGTCCTCCCAGAAGTGGATGATCTGTAACAAAAATGTCTGGATGCAAACCATTTTTGTAGATGCTAAACACTGCAATGGAGCATAAAAGGGGAGGGGAGAGAAGCAGGCACAGAGAGGAAAAATAAAGGCCACCTAGATAAAACAATCTTTTTCTCCTAATAGATTCAGCTTGGATTTTTTTTCCTTAATTTATTAGAACTGGACAGAAGACTTTAGAAACATAACATCATTATTTAGCAAAAGTATTATTAGAAACATCACTTGACTGGCTTTGTGGTAGTCTCAAATGCCCTCCTTGGAAAAAAATCACATAAAAATTGCACTGTATGTGTTTCATTCTGCCACATGCCAAGCAGATGAAGGAAGTTAATGCCGAGACGCAAATACTCTCAGCCACTGCTTTTCCCAGGCTCGTTCCCTCTCGGAGGCGTGAGCTCAGCACATGACTCCTTCCAGCATTCTTCCAAAGCCACAAGCCACACCCAATGGCCATGATTCTTCTGCACTTAAAAAGGTTGTATTTGGTAAGATACTTTTACTCTTAAGGAGGAACACAATTTTCCGGATTTGGATATTATTAAATTCTCAAGCAAAAATACAGCAGAATCCCAGGCGGGTGTGAGATTTCACCTAAGCACTTGCAAGTGCCATGTGCAAAGGCAGAAGCTCAGTAACAGCCCTACCACACACTGAGGGGATTCTGCAACGACATTAGAGCAGAGTATTCACCATTGGATGATCTCAGTAATTTGGGCCTCCCAGTGGGCCACGGACTCCTTTTTATCAGCCAGGTCTCTCATCTCTTCTTCCAGCTGCCGGTTATTCACACTCAGCCTCTCAAACATGGTGGTGAGCTGAATAAGAATTTAAACAACTTGTTAAAGGTATAAGCTGCTGTGACTTCATCTCTGTGCAGACTCAAAGCACGTGTTCCCCTCTCCCACATCGTGCATATACTTTAAAAATTGGTACTACCCATCACAATAAACACCATGTTACAATAAAAGCCAGAATCTCTTCTCACGTATGACCTTAGCTGTACTGAAAGGCCATTTTTAAGGACTAGAACTACATTTTTACTCTAAGAAATTAATTAGTTTTCTGAGAATCAGTCTCCAAACACCTCTACAACTCTTAGAAGGTTTCTGCTTTGCACCATATAGGTGTGGAATATTCTATATAGAAAAAAACTACATTAAAAGAGCAAAGCAAGGGCCCAAGAATTGTTACAGCTCAGATAAAACTGCCGAACATCTCCCTTGTTTAGTAACCATGGAGAATGAGAGGCTTAACAGATACAGGCGCGAGTCAGTCCTGAGATTCTCCAGGTGTCTCACATTCCCCTATTTTTCATTTTACATACTTGCAGACACGGAAATTGAAATTAAATGCACATCTGTAAGCACAATATGTTATACCTAGCAATTAACCTCACTTGCATTCACATAGCTGTCATTCATACATGCACATTCTGCAAGACAAAAGCCACAGCTAACCTGAGTTGGTATTGGGAACTAAACCTTCATTATGTTAAATAATTATTCAGAAGTCAAAGTAGAATCAAAGATCAAATAGACTTTATAGGAAGGCCTGCTTAGGACAATGAATCTCATGTGAAAGGCTTCTTTTAGTATTGAAATATATTAACAAATCAAAATGATGGAAAAAATACCAGTTCTAAATCTATTCTGCTTTTCACTCCCGAGTATTCCACTCCGTATTTATCATTTAAATGGGCTTATGATTTAAATATGCCTATTTATTAAATGTCGTTTGACAAGAAAAATACAAAGAGGGTAG